TTAAACATGCATCTCTAATAACGGTACTAGTGTCAATCTTATATTTTACATAATAATTTACAATTTGTGAATGTTCTTTTTGCCAAATCTACGTTTTTGAAGAAATGTAGCTCAAGGAACATAAGAAAATTACCATTATTTAATTAAAATTAAGCATTTGTATAACTTTTGGCATTAAAAAAACTTAAAAGGAGATGGGATAATTAATAATGGTCTACTTATTGTTTACTTAAATATTTATGATGTGGTCAAAACTGAAGGTAGGTAATGAAATGGCAAAAGCATTTTCTGAAAATTGCAGTTTTAGAACTATCAGGGCAGAGCAGATGATATACAAGGGAACGATTTCAATGTACATCACAATGGATAAGGTAGCTGTTTAGTTCAGATTCATTTCATTGGTGAAAGGCTACAACAATATTATAAAAAAAAAACCTTTTTGTGAATCAACGATTAAGTTTGATATCAATTCTGATGCCCCTAGCTAGCCCCCTAGCCAGGTGATGAGTAGTTTTCCTTCTATATGTGTGGGGCTAATAAATTGGCATGGAAAACTTAACTCACATTCCTGTTTAGTTAATGTGTCAAATGGCAAAAAATTATAAACTTTTCATGTGCATGTATCCCCTATATTTATGTGCGATGTATCAGACTGGTCGATGTTTCCTTTCCTTGTATTTAGACCAGGGCTTCCCTATTTGAAATTAAAAAAAGCAACAAATTTATTCTGCATCACCTGGAACTATAGATAGATTAAAGGCTAAATTATCACTGTTTTTTGGGGCCACTAAATTGTCCGTTAAAAGCACTGCAACAGCCATTTCCGCATTACTGTCTTCCTGATGGAAGGCAGTAATGCCGAGATGGCAGGGGTTCAAAAAATAATTTGTTAAGTTCCAAACTTGCCTAATTTGAGAGCCAGAGCAAATAATTTTTTGTATCTTTTTATGCAAGTAATGTAATTTATATTAGATTAACAGCCAGCTCTAAATTTCGTTTCTTGGTATCCAAGAAAATTAGAAGACAATTTTTAAATAATTTTTTCCTTTAGTATGTATGTGTCATTTTGAATTTTCCTTTGCAACTAACATAACTATTATTGTATTACATTTTAAACCCACCTATATGCTTGCACAGTCACATACAGTACATGTGTACACACAGGTTGTGGTTTAATTATTCATTTTAGTGTGAAATTTTCATTGTCCTATCTAAAGCCTCAAGTAGTCAGTATTAGCCGTGCAGTGCACATGACTATCATATATACAAAACCCACAAGTCTAGTCTGCAGGCTCTGAAATGATAATTTAAGACTGAATATTTTTCTTCAAACAGGGTATTACTCCAACTCTGTCCAAACAAGAGTTTTTGGGTCCAAAATGTAATATTAATTTAGTGCCAAATGGTTTCCAAAGTTTTCTTGAATGTTTGAGGGATTTCTTATGGCAAGTGATCTATAAAGTGCTATAAATGTCTAACTTGTCAGTACTGTATTTTTGAATTCTTTGCTTTGTCTTCACAGATGTATTTTCATTTTAGCAAGAGTGTGACCATTTTGTTTGAAAGCTGGTCTGTAAATGACGCAACAGGTAAACTTATTTCTGACTTGCATATATTTGCACTTGGAGCTGAAACTCTTGGCTACAATGCAATTTGTGAAGCCTAGTAAAATGATCCTTAAGCTTGCTAGGAGTTCTCAGCAGCTCAGTGGTTAAAGCATCTGACTGACAATTACATGAAGTCACAGATTCAAACCCTATCATAGCCTCGATTTCTGCAGCTCTCTCGACTCTGGCCTACATTCCTCCCAATTGTCCCATTTTCATGACGTCAAAGTTGATAAACATTATTTCACTGATCATCACATTTCACTCTCACTTCATTCATATCACTCACTTTATTTTGCCATGACATTGCTGATTGGGCAATATAGTCAGGACCCATGTCGCTATGGGACGTAAAAAATGACCTCACTAGCCAGGAGTTTTCAGTAGCTTACTATCCAAGCGTGCAAAGAAAGTTATGTCCGATACATGTAGATTAGGGCTAGTGGATTTTGTAGTTGGGCTATTGCAGTCTGTTCTTCTCTTGTCCGATGTGCAAGTGAAGTTTCTTGGGGAAAATTATGAGCAAATTCAGTTTATAGAAATACTGTCAGAGAAAACGTTTTCCGGGGCTTTTTAGATGGACTTTCACGCGGGTACATGTACATCACGACTTGCCCAAAGGACAAACCTGAAAACTNCAAAAAAAACGTAGTTTATCAGGAGACGCAATGAAGCGGATTAATAATTCCAGCGAAAAACAGACAACGCAGAACGCCTCGACAATAAAAAGTTTCTTAAGTTTAGTTGACAAGCTGAGATTAGTCTCTCTTCGATTGCGGCTTTCCAGTTGTTTCCTTGTGATGTAAGTTTGATTTAAAGTTGTTTGCTGATGATTCCTCGAAGCTGGCGACATATCTGCGTCATTAAACTCTGGAAGAGTTTCAATGCACATTGCGATAATGGATAGAACAATCACTAAAAGCATAAGCACGTTGACAAGTCGGGCAGCAACGCTAGATCCAGGACTTTCGAAGAGTTCCCAAATCATTCTCTGGTACCTGTTGTTAGGAACACTCCTTTTAGCTGTCTCAGGCGAGGGAACGGATGAAGAGACACTTTCCGGCAGAGAGATGTATCGCACAAGACCGAAAAATTGCATTTCTTGCATCAAAAGATCGTCAGGGATATGTTCAGGACGGACAAATTCTCCGGCGGTTTGGTAAAAATGATACACACTCTCAAAAGCCATTCGGTTTCTATCGAAGAAATATTCGTCCTTTTCCGCGTCATAGTAATAAGCTCTGCGTGCTGACCGAGCTAGCAGACTTTTGGGGAATTTCAACAGCCTGTTGAATGTCAGCTCGTACCGTTTTCCACTAACATTGATTTTTATCCTTTCCACGCTCTTCCCCGCTATTGCAAATGAGCTGATACGCGGTCGTCGGGAAGGCTGGAAGTCAGCTCCTCTGTTTAGTAAACGAGGGGTCGTGGCAGCCTCCGTCCATGATCTAACTCTATGTCCCGGCTGCAAACTGATCATGAACTCGGCTTTGGAAGAACCCGCTGCAAATTCCGTTAGCATTTTACGCTCAAAGTCTGAAGTGACACAACAGTGGACATACACTCTGCTTTTCTTTCATACGAGATTTCCCAAAGTAAACAGAATAACTAATGCGTCCGGTGATAAATAGAAACTTAGCAAATTATCGACAGATCTCTAGAACAAACTGTGAACGCCGAACCAGATTGTTTCAATCATTTGACAATATCTTAGGTCAATAAGTTTATTCAGGGCAATCCTATCGTTCTATTCTTGAATGAATGCATATCGTATTATTTGACTGTAAATTTAGATAAATAGTTTCCTCCATTTGCGCATGTCTTGTATTATATACGCTTGTCCAAACGTTCTTTACGTTGGTAACATAGGGGAATAACGGAAAAAAATTGTTACTGAAAAAACATGATTGCTGCATTACGCTCTTGCTTTCGAATTAGTTTTAACTTGGACCAGATATCCTACATTCAAGGAATGCGTTGTTATGACATGGTTAGTGTTAAGTAAGATTGAAAATGCGATAAATTTCCGAAAGAGGACACGGCTTCAAGGGCTCCATGTTAACTAAGGAGTTTGTAGAGGAGGTTTACGTCTTGCGCAGCACTTGTTTTTGGTCACTGCCGTGACGGTCTTTTTAACTTGTAAATCCATGGCACAAAACTACATATGTTGTATGTGTGTCTTTTGGATTACTGCTATCGTATTCAGGGTTACGTCTGCTGCGATCGATCAAATCCGGCACGTCGACTTCAGCGAGCCATTTGACGGTCATGGATTGGAATTGACACGTAATAAGACTAGAGATATCAATCTTCCATTTTTTTTCGAGAAAAAATCGAAATAACTTGATAAGGTGACCACAGGTTTATGATGATAACTGTAATCATGGGTTGATGTCTTCTTTGAAATGAAATTGAATTCTTTCTTAAATTTAAGACATATAGATTGTCGCAACCCCCTTTTCTCTTCGCTTTGCATAACCTGAATGACACATACAGCAAACGTTTCATTTTCCCACAGTCTCAGTTCAGCTAAGGTGCTATTTATAAATCAGTAAGAATGTGATAATGGACATATGTATGAAATATATTACAATGACTTAAATTTTATGCCAGCACCCAGTCAAAGAGAAACAGTCAAATTTCATGCAAACATTGCATTGCCAGTCCAGACTGTGAAAGATAAAGGAAGGCTTTTAAAATGGAGCTGGAATGCTAAATTCAAATAGACTCAAATACAATACGGTTCTGAGACCTGACGCATGACTAATAGCCTGCGTAGCAGGCGTATAAAGGGGAGGGGGTGGGGCGGAGGAAGAGAATTCGGTAGAAAAAAACGGAGGAGTAGGGGAGGAGGGGAATTCGCGAATTCTCTTCCTCCTCCCCCACCCCCTCCCCTTGAAACGCCTGCTACACAGGCTGCATGACAAACGCTGATAACAATAAGCCTGACACCCAACATAAATGCCTTCAGAGTATCTTCGAGATATATTAGCCAATGAAAGTGAGCAATCATTGAGGAAGTCAGAAGAATAGCAAAATTTTTTCCTTCGCCTAGGTCGATGAGAATCGATGAGACTGGCCAAGTGACACTTTTTAAGTCGTTTAATGCTGGCATGTTCCTGAAGAGAGCATATGAAAGCATATTAACTATAATTAAACACTAACATTACAATCAAGAGTTGTTACGGATTTTCCATTTCGACTACCCCTTTACAATCTTTTCAAAAGCATAGAAAGACGCTATTCTAATATTAATAAGATGATCTATGCACTAACATTTTCTAGACAACCACAATTTATTTCACCGGCCAAGGGGAACATGGGCACCTCAGACCGGAAGTATGATACCCGGAAGTGTCAATTGAGATTTACGAGAAAGGACTGGTACCGACGTTTTTTCCGACTGAACGGAGTTGCGTTGCTCGCGCTCGTTGGCAGACAGTTCGTGCATTCAAAGCTTCATCTCGGGCTCTGATCTGGTTATTTTTATCGTAGTTTTCGTTGGATTTAACGCAAAATGAGTCACGGTGGCCATGGCGGACATATGGAGATGACGACAGCGTCGACAATGCTGAACAACGGTACAACACCAACGATGGATCATGATCAAATGGGACATGATGATATGATGGGACATGGAATGATGGTTTGTTGATTTTAATTAATTCCCTTTTGCTTTCATCTCGTACAAAAAATGTTTCCTAGTCAAAGAGGTAACTATTACAATTACACTGTTTTCTTCAAAGTGTGCCCTAAGTTTTTGTTGGAATCGTTACCAAGCAATGTTCAACTTCCTTGAAAGCGACACCATCACGTTTAATAGCTTCTCGTGACTTGGGTTGCCGCATCTTTTAGTTCGTGATTCTTCATGAATCCATTTACCGTACAAGCTGTGCCAAACATTTAGAAAGTTGATAATGTCCACGGCGAGCTAATAAGTTCTGTTTTATACCCTCAGGATTACAAGTAATTCTCAATACTTTACCCCGCTTGTTGTTTAGTATACAATTAAGATATCGTGATGTGATGTATTAATACAGCCATCACGACTCTTTCAGCTGTAAATTTTGTAAAAGAACGAGACTTAACGGGCTCATTCGGACTTGTTGTACCCTACATACAATCAGGGCCTGTTGTTAGCATTGAGAAAACAATAGCTGTGAACTGACATAACGACTTTTGTTCAAAGGGCAAGGTTTACTTCTGGTTATTTTGTTAATTACACTTCACTGAGTAAAGCGGAATTAAACTGTTTAGCTTATTTTGAAATCGTTTTAAAAACAACTGGCTTTAAAAAAACATAAAGGTTTCTTTTTGTTCTCATTTGATAGCGTCGTCGTTATGATAAGAAGAAACCAGATGACAAGATATTGACAATATTGTATTCATCGTATTTGCGCTTTGTCTTACACTTGCTCTTTGTCACCTAACTCACAGGGCTTTGTGTCAGCTTCTTTTAGCTTCTCACAACTGTTTAAACATTCCTTTAACGGTGTGGGACCCTCTACTTGTTCTAAAACAATACAACTTTCTTGATTTCAGCTGTGTTTTTATAAACACCCTAACAACACACTAGCAACTAGTGGTGTCCAAATATCAAATACGTGTTTGTATGACGTCAAGAAAGCAAAATGTATTGGACCTGTTTCAAATACCAGTTTTAATTACATGCTAATTATAACTTGTACCTTATACAGTGAGGAGCAACCGATAAATATACCTGTATGTGTACACTAGTTTCACTTTCCATCTATTAAATTATTTTGAAGATTTGGATTAACTTGCTTTGATGCAGAAACTTATGCTTTCTTATTGTAAATTCAGTAATGACTTTAATTGCATCTTCCCAGAGCTGTTTTGTCTTCATTTCCTATTAATTATGTATGCAGAAATTTGCTTGAACTTTCCTTTTGTTCCATGTATAGTAGACATTAGCATAATCATTAATCAAACTATCTGTCATGTCACAAACTGTGGGCATTTGTTTTGAGGGAATTTGTTTTGATCTATGGGATACCTGTCAATCAACAAAGTACAATGTTTAAAATAATTTATTGTTAAACATGCATCTCTAATAACGGTACTAGTGTCAATCTTACATTTTACATAATAATTTACAATTTGTGAATGTTCTTTTTGCCAAATCTACGTTTTTGAAGAAATGTAGCTCAAGGAACATAAGAAAATTACCATTATTTAATTAAAATTAAGCATTTGTATAACTTTTGGCATTAAAAAAACTTAAAAGGAGATGGGATAATTAATAATGGTCTACTTATTGTTTACTTAAATATTTATGATGTGGTCAAAACTGAAGGTAGGTAATGAAATGGCAAAAGCATTTTCTGAAAATTGCAGTTTTAGAACTATCAGGGCAGAGCAGATGATATACAAGGGAACGATTTCAATGTACATCACAATGGATAAGGTAGCTGTTTAGTTCAGATTCATTTCATTGGTGAAAGGCTACAACAATATTATAAAAAAAAAACCTTTTTGTGAATCAACGATTAAGTTTGATATCAATTCTGATGCCCCTAGCTAGCCCCCTAGCCAGGTGATGAGTAGTTTTCCTTCTATATGTGTGGGGCTAATAAATTGGCATGGAAAACTTAACTCACATTCCTGTTTAGTTAATGTGTCAAATGGCAAAAAATTATAAACTTTTCATGTGCATGTATCCCCTATATTTATGTGCGATGTATCAGACTGGTCGATGTTTCCTTTCCTTGTATTTAGACCAGGGCTTCCCTATTTGAAATTAAAAAAAGCAACAAATTTATTCTGCATCACCTGGAACTATAGATAGATTAAAGGCTAAATTATCACTGTTTTTTGGGGCCACTAAATTGTCCGTTAAAAGCACTGCAACAGCCATTTCCGCATTACTGTCTTCCTGATGGAAGGCAGTAATGCCGAGATGGCAGGGGTTCAAAAAATAATTTGTTAAGTTCCAAACTTGCCTAATTTGAGAGCCAGAGCAAATAATTTTTTGTATCTTTTTATGCAAGTAATGTAATTTATATTAGATTAACAGCCAGCTCTAAATTTCGTTTCTTGGTATCCAAGAAAATTAGAAGACAATTTTTAAATAATTTTTTCCTTTAGTATGTATGTGTCATTTTGAATTTTCCTTTGCAACTAACATAACTATTATTGTATTACATTTTAAACCCACCTATATGCTTGCACAGTCACATACAGTACATGTGTACACACAGGTTGTGGTTTAATTATTCATTTTAGTGTGAAATTTTCATTGTCCTATCTAAAGCCTCAAGTAGTCAGTATTAGCCGTGCAGTGCACATGACTATCATATATACAAAACCCACAAGTCTAGTCTGCAGGCTCTGAAATGATAATTTAAGACTGAATATTTTTCTTCAAACAGGGTATTACTCCAACTCTGTCCAAACAAGAGTTTTTGGGTCCAAAATGTAATATTAATTTAGTGCCAAATGGTTTCCAAAGTTTTCTTGAATGTTTGAGGGATTTCTTATGGCAAGTGATCTATAAAGTGCTATAAATGTCTAACTTGTCAGTACTGTATTTTTGAATTCTTTGCTTTGTCTTCACAGATGTATTTTCATTTTAGCAAGAGTGTGACCATTTTGTTTGAAAGCTGGTCTGTAAATGACGCAACAGGTAAACTTATTTCTGACTTGCATATATTTGCACTTGGAGCTGAAACTCTTGGCTACAATGCAATTTGTGAAGCCTAGTAAAATGATCCTTAAGCTTGCTAGGAGTTCTCAGCAGCTCAGTGGTTAAAGCATCTGACTGACAATTACATGAAGTCACAGATTCAAACCCTATCATAGCCTCGATTTCTGCAGCTCTCTCGACTCTGGCCTACATTCCTCCCAATTGTCCCATTTTCATGACGTCAAAGTTGATAAACATTATTTCACTGATCATCACATTTCACTCTCACTTCATTCATATCACTCACTTTATTTTGCCATGACATTGCTGATTGGGCAATGTAGTCAGGACCCATGTCGCTATGGGACGTAAAAAATGACCTCACTAGCCAGGAGTTTTCAGTAGCTTACTATCCAAGCGTGCAAAGAAAGTTGTGTCTGATACATGTAGATTAGGGCTAGTGGATTTTGTAGTCGGGCTATTGCAGTCTGTTCTTCTCTTGTCCAATGTGCAAGTGAAGTTTCTTGGGGAAAATTATGAGCAAATTCAGTTTATAGAAATGCTGTTAGAGAAAACGTTTTCTGGGGCTTTTTAGATGGACTTTCACGCTGGTACATGTACATCACGACTTGCCCAAAGGACAAGCCTGAAAACTCGTTTGTTAACCGTGCTATCCAAAGTACTCTCACTGGATTTTTTCCAATTGTCCACACTCATTATGTAGCTGATTATCCACTGAGCTTCACACTAATTTATTACCATCACACTACAGCATTTTGTGATTCTAGCAGTATAAGAAAGATGCATGTCACCATTTAAACAACTAGTGAAATAATCTAGCTGGCCAGAAGTGTTTTTAGTACAGTGTGTAGATCAGTGCTTAGAATCTCTGATCAGTATGGGGAAGATCATAGATTTGAAGGTTATGAGAAATTCTACATTTTTAAAAAATATTTATTGAGCAGTACTACACTTGTGACAAACTGGTCAGCAGCTTGTTGTTAAAATTTCAGTTGATACATACAATGCTTGCATGCCTGTGTAACTGGGTAATGATGCCCAGGTTTGCTAGACAAACAGTTGACTGTATAAGAATAATGTTTTATCCATCATGAATATTTTTTGCACATTTTTATTGGCAATGGGTCAATTTCCTTCACTTTGCTTAGCTGAGTGCTCCTGAAAAAGATTTTGTTAAATTTTCTCTTTGCATTGCATTGAAACCAGTTAGTAGCTAAAACACTAACCAGGGTCCAAAATTAACTTTTTTCGGCAGGCGCCAACTGGTGACTGAAATTTGTTTTTCAGTCGCCAAATGGAAACATGTGGTCGCCAAAAAGCGTCAATAAAATTTTTCCTTTGCAGCGAAACACAAACCAAAATTTTTGGTCACCACAGGCTTACCAGTAAAATATTTGTAATCGATGTAATCAGGAATCAAACCAGTGCTGAAATCATCTTTTGACCACTTTGACAGATCTACATTTCCACCTTTTGACGCCCAGGGAATATCTAAATCTTCATCTAATTTCTTCGCGGATATTCCGTCTCCACCTTGTAGTAAATTACGGAAAGATTTCAGAACATCTTTGGACACCACATCGCCTGGATAAATATTCATCGTGAAAGAACGCACGTGGCCTTTTGCGCCCGCAATACGTATGTTATGGGAAACCGCTGCAAAAACATGGCAGCGAAGCTTCGCACTGATCGTTGCTGTGAGACATTGTGGTAGATTTATAATAACAGGAAGATCGGTTTATACTTCAAAAGCAGCAGAAAGGTAAAAAGGAAGTGATCAATTGGCAGGCGGCTTTGAATTTTATTTCAATCGATTTGGCTGACAATCAAAGTTATTGTTTGTATAATTATCGTGGCATGAAATAGTTAATCGCCCGCTGACGACCAGTTGTGAAATTCTGGTCGCCAGTACAAAATTTTTAGTCGCATTGGTGACCAGGAAAGCGCAATTTCGGACCCTGCTAACTGTTTTCCACATTGTGTTGTTGTTTTATAGAGCTGGTTTTCTCTTGTGTTGCAATATTTGTTCTTGCTGCACTCTATGAAGGTCTCAAAGTTTTACGTGAAGTGTTGAAGAGGAGATACAGCTATGTCGTGAGTGTGGATTTGACAGAGACAAAGGTGTATGGTACAGGACCAAATCAGACAACTGTTGTTACAGAATCCAAGGGAGAATTACCAAGGTACATTTTGTATATTTAATAATCTTTTAATTACTTAAATGACTTAAATCTTTGACATTTTTCGGCAAAACTGGGATGAAATTAGTAGGAACATAGAGCCTCTTTTGAGACCAGATGTAAATAATGTTTTCTCAGTTACAATTAAGGTTCATGGGGGCACTTGTAGCACGAAGTACAAACTGTATGCCCCCATTGGATCTTCTCCCCAATGCTTTTGCCATTTCGGCCAGAAACTGTTTGCTTTGTTGATTCCCATGGCACGACAAGGACTGATGATCATGGTGACATTGTTTTCATTCTTTACAGGTCTCGAATTTGCAACTGGCATCACTTAGTTCAAACCTTCCTCCACGTTGTCCAGGTCACAATTAGTTATTTCCTCATGTTGATCTTCATGACTTACAATGTGTGGCTGTGCCTTGCAGTTGCTTTGGGCGCTGGCTTTGGCTATTTTGTGTTTGGATGGAAGTTAAACAAAGTGGTTGACATCTATGAACACTGTCATTGATTGATCAGCCACATAGGTGTACTTCAATTGTTATGCATGTATGTTTGAACTAGTTTATGTAGATTACACAATTTAGTTATATTGATGGGGATTAGTGAGACTAGTGCAGCTTCTCTTCACTTCATAGGCTCTGTGGATGAATTTCTAAGAGCTAGACAGGGAAGTGAATGCAGGGGACTTGCATTTTCTTTGTAGACCTGCACAAACTAATTTCAGACTACAATGTACATGTAGTTCATGCTTTTCATTTTATGCTTGTGCACATGATAGTATTCTTGCCAGTCTGAGACTGAGTATCACCACATAATTAAGAATAAGTTGATTTTGCTTACTATGTATTAGGTAGGAAGAAGAAAACAATAGTCATAAAATGTCAAATTGCAATTAACTACCTTAAGTCAAATTAGCTACATTGTATTACATATAGATATTGCACACTTGAGCTCAACTGATTTTTCAGTATATACTTCATGGGGGAATCATAATTTACTTTTGTTTAAATATAAGCTTGATGTACTTTTAAAACTTTCAAGCCAGTAAAGAGCATCAAGANTTTTAAAGATTCCCGCTTTTAAAGATTCCCCATTTTAAAGATTCCCGCTTTTAAGGATTCCCGCTTTTAAGGATTCCCCATTTTAAAGATTCCCGCTCTTAAAGATTCCCCATTTTAAAGATTCCCCGTTCCCCGTTCTTTCATTTTTATTTTCATTTTCCGATTCCCCGTTCCCCGTTTTAAAGATAACCCTATTGCCGATTTTCCTTGTCATACCATCTAAATTAAACAAGGCAACCATTCAGTAAATAAAGTCAAGAATCTGAGATATGATAGATGATCGATATATGAGCAACCTCGCTAAGAATTTGTTCTGTGAGGTATTTCATTCCTGAGCTATTCGGAGAAATATTTGCCAAAAATTATAGAGTTTTCTTTTTATGGAGGCGCCATGTTGCTGACCCCAGGGACACCAATATGGCGGCCGTAAAATAACAGAAACATCTGTCATCGAGTTTTGCTATTAAAACGAAACTTTTTTTACCCTAGGGCTTCGCCACATCGCAATTAATATTTTATCGAATGCAAGGACTGTTCAGTTAGCAAGCGCGTACATGCAGGATAAGTCACCTATTGACCTACGCGACAGCATTGTCTGGCCGTCGTTTTAATGTCACGCAACACAAAAGTTCTGGTTTATTACAAAACGAAGACCTCTGTCGAACTAAAAATTTGTAAAACTTCAAGTTCTTAGAGAGTCATATGTCTGATAAACTAAAACTTGAGAAAGGATAGGTAATTTTTTATTTCGGAATGTGAAGACGTCACATGAATAGTGACGAAATCACACCGGCAATTGACGTCACGGTACAGGGGGACATTTTGCTTCCGGTGAAACTTTGCATTGGGAAAAGATGCAGAAATTAACGTAAGAAATGATATAATATGGTTATTTTAAGATCACACGGGTGCATTATTGTGTATAAAAATGATGGATTTTTCACCGTTCTCAATCTTGATCAAGCAGTGACAAAAGAAGTCGTTTACCACCTTGAAAGCAAAGTTTGAAACTATGTGTATCTCCAATCAACAAGGGCATTTGGGTTCGGATAAAGCCAGACTCCAAGCGCAACTTCTACGGAATAAAATAGCAGATATTATGCAGGAGGAATTTGCGAGAGAAATTAATGGCTTAGTACATGAAGAATTAAGACGCTGCTGTGAAGCTTGCCAGGAGGACGATCCGGCTGAAAAGCTGCATAAATGTAAGATGATGGAAGAAGAAGAAATTTGGGCCTGCTATTTTGAAAAGGCAAAGGCAAGCATTAACATGGAACGATTTTGGAAAAGAATTAGAAGAGAAGTTCTCCGGAGACTTGGCTTAATTCTGGTTGAATCATGGATGAACTTTATGTTTCATCTTCTACTGATGGACGAGACAAATGCATTTTTAATCTATAAAAACTATGAACGATATCGAAATATGGGCAGAGATGAATGTCAAGAACTTGAATTCTAATGATTATATGTAAAAATCCTGACTAGGAGTCAAAGAAGAGTGCTTACTAGAATGGTTACATGCTAATATATTTTTGACTAGAATTGTTTGACAGCTGGCTGTCGTGTCGTCTCATTGTACTGTATATTTTGAACTTTGTACATGTAAGTCGGTATTATCATATGTTTAAATTATGATCAAAATCTCACCAATCGTAGAGCAAGTGTTCGAAAGTGTAAATACAAACAGAAAGACAAGTTTAGGCTACTACATAGTTAATATTTTCATATCACTTAAAATATAAAAAAGGACATAACCTTTCTTATTATCATTTTTGTTTAATATAAATTAGCCCATATGTGATAGATTCACAAACTGATCTTGATTAAAGATAAACTCTCGACCACGATAAAGAAAATCAAGAAAACTTTCATGACGTGTGAACATATCTTCGAGACACAGTTTGAAAATATCTGAAGTATCTATCATGTACATTTACGATAATTAAGCTAAAACTATGGTTGAAAGTTTTAACATACAGAATTGGCATTAGTTATTCCATAGCGTCAGATCAAATTACTCGAAGCATCCAAAAACGGAATAACTGATTGCGTGACAATGTCACTCTCCAAGAGTTTTCGTGAATCAATGTCTAATGTTATTGCCTTATTATTGTTGATTCTTTCCGTACACATTTTAGGTTTGCATGCAAAATACAAAATTTCAGTGGTGATGAGCTGCTATCGACATTTGCCTAAATTTGAATCAGTCATTGAAAATTTAGACGAATGGTCAGAAGTTGAAAATAGGAACAAGGGAAAACATGCACTATTGAAAGCGAATGTGAGTACTAATGTATAAGTATCGTCATATCTAAAAACGGCAAAGGCTGGCATCATGTAAGGGAGCGTGTTGTTAGGTTTGTAACGTAGCGGTAGAGCAGAAAGAAAAGCTGTTTAAATTTTCTTTCTTTTCTAAAAAATCTCCTTAAAACTGCTACAAAGCGAGGCTAATCGTACCAGCAAAGCCAAATGTCAGAGCCTGGCATACATCTTCCCTCGAGTTGTGAACCCATGCAAGTCACGCATTTCCTGGAACTGATATATTTATGTGATGCTAATGTCTCGTAACATCAGCTCGAAGACCCATAAACGCATATTACTTTTCTCTCACAGGTTTCTACATCGCTGCGGACACCAGTGATAGGAGATTGTCTGTGACAGGATTGGATAAAAAAAAAAGAGCCCCATTTTGTGATTTTATTGTCAGCTCGAAAATATAGCATATAATAAGTTTGGTTTTTGCCCAACCTATTTATTAACCTTGATATTTTTTACCATTCGCTAACCTTCACAACAAACAAACCAGGCAAGAGTTTCGTTGGCTGATTGTGTACCCATGCTACACAAAGTGTGTATGCGAACAAAGTCGAAACAAAGGAACTAGCCAGCTTCCTCAATGAGGTTTGTGTCAGGGTCAGATTTGTACGCCCCGACTGACCGAAAGAAGCAACCCAATATCAAGACCGACCACTGCGGGTGATCTTGCATTCAATCCCAGGGATTTTTCCCGGGGATTTGAACACTTCCGGGCCTGCCCCTGGGACTAGTCTCCTCAAGTGCCCTGATCTGTAACCGTGACTTGTCACTCACTATGAACAACGTAAACAAAATTAGTTATTTATTAACTTGTCAAAACGTTTTACAATCTTCATAAAACTATAATAAAACAGTAGTAAGACTACTAATGCGTCGTATCTTAACACTTCGTCAAGACAGAGCAACTACCAAACATGTTTATCGTTACAAATCACCACGTTTATGCGTGCATTAAAGGAGGACGCCTGAGATCTAAAGAAAGTTAGCCATTGCCGTCAAGCTATGTAAAATTCTTCTCATAAGGCACCAGAAATATATATATATAAAAGACCGGGAACAAGTCCAAAAACACTACAGTCAACTACCAATCTGACAAGAGTTCTCTTAGTCTGGAATGTACAGAGCTTCATTTCAGTTTACTCTCTGAAGTTTAGAGGCTACCCTGTCCAGAATCAGTTTCATATAGTTGAGGAAAAAAAAACCTATTTCAATTGCAATAAAATGGTGAACAGCTAGCGTTTCTAAAAGGCCAGAAGCCTATAAAAAAAGATTGTCTTCCTACTTCTTGTTAATGTTATAAGCCATTTATAACGTCTAGACTCAAACGTTATTTTGTCACACATTTAGAATAAGGTACGGCTACTTAAACTTCTAAGAATACTATTACGGCTACTTGCACAACTTACAATACTAAAATGGCCACATTTTTTTTAAAATACAGTTTACTTATTTTAAAAGTTGAGCTAAAAGAAAGACCAAAGACGTTACTTATGCATTGTAGCGACTTGATAGTGAACTCAAAATGTAACAATTTGACCAGCAATGCACTGCAGTCCAAAAGTTACTACCTAAAACTTAAATGTGATGCTTTCTAACAAATAACAATAAAAAATAGAACAAACGACTTCTACAGTTGTGCCTAGGCCAGGCAGGTCAGGCATGTCACTGGTGTCCCACCTACCTGGTTGGACATCAATGCATAATTTTCTATTGTAATCTATTTATTAACAAAAACCTTTGTAATATCAGATCTTAAAAGACTGGCCCGCCTAGAGTAGCAATACCTATACGCAGGCCAGTCTAGCTGTAAAAATGTAAAGTGAGGAACGAAAATAAAGATTATAGTAACTTGGTAGTTAACACGCAATTTGACCAAGCAATGCATTTAACAGTCCAAAACGTCTTAGCGAAAAATTTACGCCATTCTCTTTTAACAAATAAATAAAATGATAAAAAAAATAATCAGAACAAAACACTTCTACCAAGAGGTAAGAAAACCTGTCTAGGTCAGGCTTCTTGTTTTCGTTTTCTTGTTGCCAAGGAGGGCACCAAAGCCTAATATTAAGCGATAGGAACTTGAACCAGTTATTAGTTATACTCTATCCATATTAAAATTCAAAACTTTTGAACCCTAAAACATGTTACTTTTAAATGTTACCTTAAACTGTAACTAACCGTTGCAAAATATCTAGCATCCCTTGAATGGAGAAACATGTTTCTACACAAACCATTTTTTTTTCTAGCATGCTAAATACCTTTCCACAGATTTTTATCTACAAAAGACTTCGTTTAATTAAAGCGATAAATGCGATATAAAACTGTAAATGAATACGATTGCAATGACAACATTAGCAGATACGTTCCATCAATCTGTAAATCTTTACCTTCGCTGGCTATACTGTCAGGAACAACAAAAAACACCACAGTTCTGTAACGGGCTTACTGAGGCTGGTAAAATGTTGTCAACATCTTGGACCACGATTGTGGGAAGGACCCTTTTGTTTCTAAATTTCTTGCAAATAGAACCCCATGGACGACACAAGCGTGGTTGATTTCCCGCATATAGCCGGGGCTACAGTTCAAAGGGACCATCTTGTGAATGCGCACAGTTGTATAAATTATTTGTGAATTCGGATATTGTCAGGAGCGTTGGACAAAATCCAGTGACGTTACCCATTTTATCAAGGGCAAAGGTGAAAGAGGTTTTATCGCACTGGAGGGCCGGCACACCAAGAGCCAAGGAAAATCTATAATGAACGTAAAGTATCACTGAAACAAACAGAAGTCATTTTAAATTTGAATTAGTTTTATTTCTTACTAACTCACTGACTGTTGTTCAAACCACAAGCTATACAATCACAGCATGTTTTTAATCGAAAGTAGCAAGGATAACAGCAATTTGGCAAGACTGTAGCCCTCCTTTATCTTCTTAGTGAAAAATCAACTTGCAAACAGAGTGCAATTTGTCTGAAACATTAGTAAGATAATAATGACTATCTTATTGTCTAATTATAGTAACGTAGCTTGTCAATTCACATCAATGCTTCTTCGTCCTCGTCTTCAGCTTTAATTGGCTCTAACCGTGCAAAAGCATTTGTCAGCTTTTTGTGACTATGGACGACTCGAATCACCTGATAGCCAATCACACCACCCACAGTGAGCGCGCGAATAAATGACTTGCCACTCCCCTTTATGCCCCAGTAAGGCGTTTCTCGTTTACTGAAATCTTTGATTTGGTCTTCATCTTTGTGGAAAATAATGTCATCAGTGACAAAGTTCTTTCCCTTTAGCGCAGAGGTGTTGTTGAGAACCACTTGATATCGCTGTTCACTTTGCATGTAATCGGCAGTGGGATATTTGCTCATGTAGTCATACTTCTTGGTTGATTCGTGAGCGATGGAAACGCCTGCTATGTGGTTGATACTGTCATCAAATAGAAGTTTTCTGCACTTTTCAACGAACTCTAGCTCGAAAGCTTTCATCTCCTCTTCTTTTGCGACATTTCCACCACAATCCTTAGATATATGTGTGAAAGGAGAATGCAAAAGGCCTGGGTTTTTCAAAACTTCAGCAAATCGTTTGCTATCGGCAAGAAGGAACATGGCACTTTGTATGGTATTAACGCCATAACCTGGACATTTTTTCATCATCCAAGTAACCAAATCGAATTTTTCCTGATCAGATAATTCTTTCACGGTCTTCTTCAGGCACGTTTGGAAAACACGTTGACCAAAAAGGAGGCCTCTGGCGAGTGAGCACTTATGCCACTTGCGATCATTTTCGTCAAATTGATACATAAATTGGACATCGTCATCTATCGTCCAGTACAGGGAGAAGTCTAGGCATTCTGCTAGGCTTTTGATAACAGCCCTGGTTACACCAATTCCTCGTCCCCTCTGGGGCAGAACAACGTACGACACGTTCCGTCCTGTTGGAACCTTGAGGTCGTTCACGGTAGACTGAACAGTTTTAAAGTGTTGTTCCTCCACGACAAGGAAAATGTTCAAATCCAAAACATTGCCTCTTTTTTCTTCTGTCACTCCTTCCTCAACCGTCTCACTTTGCTCCTCTCTTAAGTCATCTCTGCTCCACGGGTCTTCTTCAAGAAAAAAGTTCCCTCGGATCTCTCTGCTTGGACCAGGCCGGACTGTAGGCATGAAAATTGGTGCTATTTGCTGCATGGGATCTACCAATCCATTACGAATGCCATCAAGCTTCTTACTCATCTCAGAGGAGACCAACACTTCAAGACAGAAACCTTCTTGAGATCGCTTCTTCACGTGAATTTCATTGTCAGGAAGAGCTTGCCCAGGAACAATTTTACAGGAAATACAAGATTTCTCATAAGCAAACAAACGTTTTTGAGCTTGCTTCCGAAAATCTTCTACTTCTGGATCACGAGGTTCTAGGTTTAAGCTTGGGTCTAGTTCAATATCGAAATGGTTTTTGTCGCTAAGTACATTGACCAAGGCCTTTGCCCACAAACGTTGCTTCTCTGCACTCTGTGCTTCTCGGAGTACCAAGGCGTCTTTTCCAACGCTTAACCTCGACTTTAGCTTCTGAATGACGTCAGATCCCTTAAAACCAGGCTTCTTAAACAGGTCTGTCACATCTTTGATTATCGCGTCATACCTGGGTCGTAGTGGTATTGCTTTGCTTTCAGGAACAACTTTCATTTCCTCGGGAAGAGAGATATCCGTCTCCACATCTAAGCTAGGATGAGGATTTATCTCACGAATGGATTTTGTACAAAATTCGATTACGATCTGTAGCTTTTGGTTCAGCACTTTCAGCAGCTCTGGTCTTCTGGCGTTGTCTAAACTTCCCAAGGCAACCAAATTCTCAACGTCTTCTTTGAGCTGTTCAATTAAGTGAAAATGCGACTTCTTGTCTTCTTTCTTTCTGTCACGGGTTGGTTTGTTAAGGGAAACTGCAATGCGCTTTAGAAGAGCATAAAGAAAATCGACACACAGATCTGCCTTTACTTCAGGCCCAGCACTTGACCACCGTTTCTCTAACTTTTTTAATGGATTTCGGTTCTTTTCTTTCTGTACAACATAAAGCAAGTGCGTTTGAGCACTGTTTGCACAATATTGCTCAACTCTGCTTTCACACAAAATCTCCACCAGATCAACAAGGTCACTTATATCTGGAGACGTAGACCAGTAGGCATTTTTAAAGTGCTCGATTAGCCGAAGTCTGAAAATCTTAAGTGATGCTTTCAGACTTTCCAAAAGAACAGCTAATGTTTCTTCAGAATCCAGGAAACAATACATCTGCCTAATGTCAGGCTGCAGTAGCAAGTGTTGTTGGTCTATGAAGTTTTTCACAACATACCTTACCTGATCAACATCAAGTTGCATATCAAAGTTTGGCGCTTTAACTTCAATCTTGCTAGGGTGATTCTTCTTCTTTTCTGTGGTAAGACTTCTGCCAATACGTGTTCTAAGCTTTTTGGCTGCCCAGTGAACGTTCTTGAGAAATGGATGGATGGTTTCTTTGATCTTCACATTCTGAACGTGATCATTGATTACATTCTTCAAAGAGTCGAGAAATCCAGAATTTTCTGGATGAAAGTAAATCACATCACTTTCTTTGGACAACTTATCCAAGAGTGCCTCTCCATTTAGCTGAGGAAGTTTTTCTCTTACGTCTTTGTAACAGCCTGGCGTATTTCCCTGTTCAACACTACTGGACAGAAAGCTCGACCATGCCCTTTTTAGATCCTCCCTCTTTTGTTCTTGCAACAAACCAAAATTGCAAGAAGACACAGTTGAAGGTTTTCTTCTGTCATTCACAAGGTGAACAAGTTTAGGACGCGATGTGAACTGCACCTCCTCAAGCCTACGGAATATATGTGCAATATCCTCTGACGAAACAGGTCTTCCCGACTTGCCCTCCTCAAAAAACAACACCACATCAGCGTTGGTCAATTCATTGTCGATGGACTGATTTCCTTTTTCATCACCTCGCCCAGGAATATCTACGAACTCTACATCAACCTCTAACTCCAGGTGGCCAGAGGTTGTCATTGATCTCTTTTTCAAGACTTGGAAAACTGGAAATGGCCCTTGAAGCTCTACGCATTTTGCATCACTGAGGTTTCCTTCTTCTTTAAACTTCATTTCAAGTAATTTATGTACACGTGTCAAACAATCATTACTCAGGTCCTCCTCTGGAAACCAAACATCAGGAGTAGCACTCTTCTCCTGTTTGTGGAACAATACTTGAACCTTATTGCCCCATTTTACATTTATTGGAAGGGGTGTCTGGCTGCCTCCTGATGCGGAAGGAAGGGGCCCGTATTTTACCTGATACATTTTAGGTAAACCCTGATTTAAAATAAAATTTAGTAAAAAACTTTTACCAGCCCCAAGTGGCCCAAAAACAGCGAGTGAAATGCATATCTTGCTGTCTGAGACAAGTTTGTTGTGGAAGTTGTCAATGCTTTGTCGGATTAACTTTTTTATCTTATCCGGTCCCCTAGGTTTCTTCTTGTCATCATACAGCAAGTACCAAGCACCTTCCATAACATCAGAACAAAGGCTTATTTTCTCCCACAATGTCGAATCTGTGGGAATTGCTAAACAGCTGTACAATGTCTTCTTTGCATACACATCATTGTCTGAAAAACCAGGCAGAGAAAAAGAACTTACACTAAACAGGCATAAATAGGCACGAAAAAAGCTAAAACTATGTGCATTTCAGTACATTCTAAAAACTCACGACAGCGTCACGTTTCCTTCCATCCTTCCATAAAAAAAATAATCATAATAAAATAATATTGTGACTTCTAGAAGTTATGACCAGTGCAAAGTCAAATTATCGTAATGTTCCATTCTAGGCAACTCTCCTTAATATCATATATGGTTGTGTTTCTTACTTTCTGGGGAAACTTACTACTTTTAGCGGGTTGCTACCTTCGTGTGGTGTAACTGATTTACCCCCAAAACCCCTGTTCTTGAATCATGGAAAATCGCTTACATAGCAAAGCCTAAATTGCATTATCAACATTATATTAAGTGTTACTATGCCAAAAAAAAACATACTAGGGAGCTTACGATCCTGGACACGAGGGCTCTAAAATGCAGCCGGAAGTAAATTTTTACAAAGAAGGTATGCTTTACGTACGTAAGTCGCACTCCTTCTTGTGTCACGTCACTTCATGAACGTGAAACTGGAGGTTTTGGCTTTGCAAATACACAAGTCTTTTTCCTAACAATTTTTGCTAACTAGGAGGCTAAATTTATCGCCAAGTCTGCCGATTTTTGAACCGATGCATATTACTTCTCATATAATCAATTAGCCAAAAATTAATGTCGGAATTGCGTTCTTTTCTCCTTTTTCGGTTTGGCAAGAAAATTCTTTCTTCCGAGGAAAGTAAGCTACTTCCGTCCGGCGCAAGATAAATGAAGACAGTTGTCTGGTATTTCACTTTCACACTTTAAAAAGATACTGATTAACAGCTTCATTCTGTTGCGCATGTTTCAATTTGCAGTTCGTTTGCAATTTGGCTCCAATACATGCCATCAACTAGTTTTTTTCTTTGGATTTGCTTTTGCGTCAAGATACGCAGCAGTGCTCAGTATATTGACAATCAAATGAAATCTTCAGTTGAGTGCAAAGTCTTTTTATTTCATTAAAGATGTTGATTAACTTTAAATGTATGACTTCAAGGTTTTTATTTTAAAACAAAGTGTATATACACATTATACCAACTTTTTTGAAACTGGCCCCTCCAGGGGGGCTTTTGGATAAAGCACCTTCCCTAACGTTTCAGACTCATCCTTCATTAACCTTAAAACAAAATCAGTCATGCTGTTGCTGTTGCTGTTATGGTTACGGAGGTTTAGATTTTTGTCGATAGGGAACCCATTTCCTTGAATGGGGCGTTCTGACTATAATCATGCAGTGAAGTTCCGTGAAACAGTCTGCAAGCCCGCAGCCAGTACTGCCAATCGTGTGACCGAGGTGGGGTGGGATGATAGACCAAACCAGCCACGTGCAGTCAAACAGACCCTTAAGTTAAACACCCCTGACAGAGGAAGACACCATGTCATTGCTGCCCTCCACATGTAAAATGACATGGGACTGTGGTTCCAATGTGAAAATGTTCGTTCCAGTGCTTTACACCACGATATCTTGGGGGCTAGCATCTCGAAATAAATAAAACATCACAAGAGCAGCTGCTAAGGAAATTGAGTCACAAAATTAAGAATGAGGAAATTAAGAATGAAGCTTTCACTGAACGAGTAAATCAAAAGGAAAAGCAAAGCCAACCAAAGAAAAATCAATTCAAAGAACCCCATGCTATCCTTGGACTTATGCTAACTCTACAATAACCATACAATTCATCAACCTCAGGTTTGCATCCATCAGTATTATTTTGCTAACGTCAATACCATATCTAGGTTGTCTTCCCTGTGTTTCGTCCTCAAGACCACATCATCCACTTTCAACAAATGGAGTATGAACTCTTCCATTTAGACTTTGTCAGCGTCAGGAATTTGGTCTATGCCGACAAAGGAAACTCGTGTTATTTTAACAAACTGGTTTAATCTCACTTCTCTCTTTCTACAACTCTCTGTTGAAAAGCTCAAAGACAACTCATACATGTGCGATAGTTCAAAGTTCAGTGATCACGCGCACGGTGCATGTGATAATAAACACAACGGTAAAGGTAGGTAAAGCACTCGTTGAGATTATAGTTCCTCTTGTTGAGCAATATCCTTAATATGCTGTGCTGCAGAAACAGCCGCAACACGTTTGGGTTGAAACTCTCAGACTGTTGAATCAAGCACTGATACTCGGCATTCCTGGTAACTGTCACACGGCAACTCCATGGGACACAACTGTTGGATTGCTCGCTCAAGGAATGATTTCCCTGCCCTCAGTCTTGCTGCACTGACAACACCATCTCTGCCCTTGATAAGCTTGACTACAATCCCGCGGTTCTATTTCCCTCTGTTCCATTCGTCACCTTGAATCAGAAGGACGTCTCTGGTCTTAATCAGCAGTTTTCCTTTCTGGTGGTTGAGGTTATGCCTTTCTCAAAGGCTCCTTATGTACTCCTCGGTCCATCGGGTCCACATAACATCCTTGCAGTGACGGAGATACCTTGCACGCTTCCTTAAATCCTTGCTTTCAATTGCATCAGGATTGTCTTCTGCAACTGATTGGGTTGACCAAACATCATAGCATGTGGTGTCAGGGTGGGTAACATCATCTAGATAGGTAAGAGGACGGTTGTCAAGTGTGATTTCCATGTGTAGGATAACCTCTTCTAGCTCACTCCACACGAAATTCGTCCCCCAATAGACTTGTAGAAGGCTCGCTTGAAGAGTCCCACCATCCCCTTGAACTGACTGCCCCACCGCGGTGCTCGGCTCAGTTTAAACTACCATGTGATGTGCTGGTGTGCCAGGTAGTCCTGCATCTTCTCGTCTCTCATGACGCCCCAACCATTTGGAGGCTGCAACGAAACGCTTTCCATTGTCAGAATACACCTTTTGTGGCCTCCCTCTTCTGGCTATGAACCGCTTGAAGGCTTTTATGAATTCTTCAGTGGTTTGGTTGCTTAACAGTTCCAGGTGGATAGCTCTGGTCAGACTACAGGCAAACAACAGGATGTAAGCTTTACGATCTCTCCTCTTGTTGAGTCTGTATGGTATTGGGCCAGCATAGTCCATGCCCAGCACTTGGAAAGGGACTGACCCCATGGTAAGGTCAATTGGCAGGTTTCCGGGTGGTGGACTTCTTAAGGTCTTTGCTTGGAACTTCTTGCATCCAAAACAACCATTGATGACTTTCTTGGTCAACTTCCTCAGTCGAGTTATCCAATAATCACTTCTGATAAACGCCATTGTGCGACCAACTCCCCCATGCAACGTCAGCATGTGCGCATCTTTAACCAACTTCTCTGACAACACTGCACTCGGTGGTAAATAGATTGGATAATTTTCTAGTATTCTGCAGTGACACTTGTACAACCTGTCGCTGTTCTTTTGCAGGTTGAGGGTAAGCTTGTCTTCTTCGAACTTTTCTGTTCCGCTTGAGCTTTCTTGCGCTCTTTGAACCCACCACTGGACTTCCTTATCGGTCTCGGATGTCGTCAGAGGGCCCATGAGTCTCGCTGATTTCTTCTGCTTACAATTGTTCAAGAATCGTTTTTCAGAAGCTGTTTTTCTCTAAAACTTCATCAAGGTCGTCCTTGGTCTCCGCAATGGTGGCAAAGATCTCTTTCATAAGTTTGGCGTCCACTTCAGTTTCTTTGTTTGGTTCTGTAAGTATGTCACCTGACCAATGATCAGGCTCTGTCAACCATTCTGGCCCATTAATCCATAGCTTGCTTAGCTTGTCTGCTTGGCGACCTCTACTGCCAATATCAGCGGGATTCTGGTCGGTACCAACATGTCTCCATTGAATGTATTTCATATCTTGTTCACTCATTAGCCACAAAATGTTTGTAGGCACTGCCTTCTCTGATCCAACATAGGGCCACAGTACTATCCAGCCATCCATGGACTGATCTAACTGGCTGGCCTTCTAGGGTGTTCTTCACATTTTCTGCAAGGTTCGCTGCCATGTGTGCAGATACAAGTTCCACTCTAGGAATGGTCAGGCCATTCTTCGCCAGGCGTGATTTTGCTCCCAGTAGCCCTTGGTTGACACCGGAAGCTTGATGGACCACTGCATACACGGCAGCTGCAGTTCCAGCCCCACTTGTGTCTCCGAACGTGTGTAAATCGATCGCTTCAATAGTTTCCTTAAAGCCTGCCAAACTGCGTGGGACTTGAACGTGGTCTGGAAGGCTCCTCCCAATTTTTTTTCACTGCTTCGAGACGGTCTCAAGTACTTTCTGGTCCCATGGGAGGTGTTGGTCACAGACTTCTCGATACAAAAGCTTCCCCACAAGTGATACTGGTGAAGCTACACCAAGTGGGTCATAAACTGAAGCAAGGAAGCGCAACATTTCTCTCTTAGATACTTCTGGGAAGGCCTCTCAGAATGTGACAGCGATGGTGTCTTCAGTTTTGTTCCATGGTAGCCCCAACATCTTGGTTTCTCTGGGTTTGACTCCATGTTCTTCCTTGGCATAGCTTTGTTTCCTGTCTTCTGGTTCACTGCTTCCTTCTAACTATGCCTCGTTTGAATGCCATTTGTGTAACTCTAACCGTGCTTCTCCAAATACTGTGACGGCCGATTCTTTCAGCTTGCACACCTTCTCTGTTGTTTCTCCACCGGTGATAACATCGTCAACGTATAGACTCTTCTTGATTTCTTCTACTGCACTTCGGTATCTTTCTTTCATACCTTCTAAGTGTTGATGCAATGTTCCCTCTAACGAGAGTGGTGACCGGACAAGTCCAAACAATGCATGGGTATATCTCAAAACTTCTACATTCAACATTTCCTTGTCCTTGATCCAGTGAAATCTCAGGGCATCTCGATCCTCCGATTGTATACGGACTTGTAGGAACGCCTGCTTGAGGTCACCTGCCAAAGCTACAGGTTTCAATCGGTTTCTCACCAGAATGTCCCACAGCAAGTTTTGGAGGGGTGGTCCCGTCACTAAGCAGTCGTTCAATGACGGACGTCTTTCTTTTGATATAGCTAATGCATCTAAGACGACTTGCAGTTTGGTGGATTCTGCAGACTCTCTGACAACAGTCTTGTTGCGGGATGTAGAATTCTCTTCCCACTGGATCTGAAGACACTCTCTCTAGGATTCCATTCACCAACTGGTCTTGAATAACTTCATCATACTGGGCCAGAAGGTTGGGCTCTTTCTGCAGTTTCTTGTAGAGGCTTTCCAGTCTTCTCAGACTTCCCTGTTTATTGTTTGGGACGAGATCATGACCATGTTTCCATAGTAACCCTATTTCATATATTTCATACCATCCTTCGTCACTGCGTTTGATTGCTCCTTAAAATCATTGTACACTAATTGCTGATCACCGTCTGGCCTGTCCTGAAGACTTAACACGTCTAGACTGCATAGCTGTGCGTAATCACTGGACGAGGTTCTAGAGAGATAAATGCTCCCCATGAGTGCTTCTTTTCCAGCCAACATCATTGTCCATCCCAGTGAGATTAGCTCACCAACTGGTTCTCCCAACTTTTCCAATCTGTAGCGTTGTGTCAGACTTAATCCTGGAGTACTCTCTTGCACCCAATATCAAATCGATGTGTAACTCTGGCTTCTTCCTCATCATTCATGACTACTCCCTGCGGGTGGGGGGTACTGGTGGATTTTGTCAGCATATCTTGGGTTAGGGATGGTCAGCAGAACACTTCTATCTACCTTACTGACTGATGCGGCCATGTTAAAATCTCCCACGATGCTTGAAACCTTGACATCATACTGATAAATCTTCTGGTTAGTCCAACACATTATCATGTCAATTCTCTTGTGCTCCATCCTAGACGCTTGTTTTCCAAGTCGCTTGATAAGAGCTGCCCCAGTGTCCAGTAATACTCAGCATTTTATGCCGTCTACATGAACAACCATGACAGGGTAAATGACTGCTCCTTTGCCAGTGGCTAGCAACATCTGTTGGGAATCCCTATCACAGACTGATGTGTGTTGTCCGCCATTACATTTTTGGTAATTTCTAACGATATGACAGTCCGCAGCCCGGTGCCTTGAACCAGTGCAGTTTTAAAACACAACCTTTTCTCACTGAGGAACTTTTTCCGTAGTGCTACGCCTACTTTCTTGTCACAGTCGACTGATTTGTGCTCGCTCATTTCACAGTACACAAAGGGTCTTGTTTTCCATCCCTCTTGCCTCGAGTTAAACACTCTGTCTCGTTGCTTAGGGAATTTAAGCGGTGGTTTGAATGGCAGTTTCAATGACGGTGGTTTCTCGTGGTTAAGATCTTCATCAGGCTTTGGCGGGTTCCTCACGGTCCACTTTCGCAATGCCTCGACAAGCTGCTTTCTTTCCATTCTTTCCAATCATCGTCAGATCTCACTAAATCTCCTCTAATTCCTTCAGTGTTCAGTGTCATCCTTATGTAACCATTCATCTCCCCGAGTTTGCCCATTGCTTTAAGTGCTTGACCGTTTGAACATAGTTTTTCATAAAACTACAATACCTTGTTTAGATTTGCTCAGTAAATCACGGGAAGTGACATGATGCTGTTTACATAGGCATTTACGATCTCGCTCTCCTTTCCAAATTTTGTTTTCAAAATATTCTTTGTTCATTCGTAGCTTTTGGTGGTGAATGGGAGGCCATCTATGGACGATCGAACTTGAGCCTCCAAAAGCTCCTTAAGGTAGGAAAACTTTGTGATCTGTAAAACATTTGCCGAGTCAACTTCTGCTGCGAATTGGCCCCAAAACTGCAGCCAGTCGGCAGGTATGCCTTGAACTTGGTGATGACAAGTTTTGGCAGCTTTGCGTTGATGTTTTGCTCTTTTTTCTCTTCAGTTTTCCTTTCATATTTTAGCTTTTACTCCAGTTTAGCTTTTTCGAAACGCATTTCCTCGTCATACCTTTTCTCCCTGAGCTGTGCATCGTGCTCCTCCTTTTCTTTCTCTTTGGCCTGCATTTCGACATGTCTGCATTCCTTGATAGTTAAGTCGAGCTGGTCGATTGCCTTCTCAAACACACTTGCATGCTCTTCAATTTCTTTACCCTGTTCCACGATTTTGTGCTCCTCCTTTTCTGCCTCAAACATCAGTTCTTGAATTTGGTTTTCAGGTCATGGACTTCTTCCATTTTCTTCTTCAAAGCGTTTTGTATTCTCTCCATCGATAGAACCACTTTATCCTCGATCGCAGTGATTGCTTGTCCTTGCATAGGTTTGAGGGTTTGCAGTTTTGTGTTGACCACTTTCGTGTGCTGATCGATTGTTTTCGCCATCCTTCTTTGATCCTGGTGGGGTCACCACTTTTGTTGGGAATTTGGTCTATGCCGACAAAGGAAACTCACATCATTTGAACAAACTGGTTTAACATCACTTCTCCCTTTCTACAACTCTCTGTTGAAAAGCTCGAAGACAACTCATACAAGTGCGATAGTTCAAAGTTCAACGATCATCTGCATGGTGCACGTGATAATCAACACCGTTAATCTTACGTCACGGAATACAATTTTCTGGTTGTGACATCAATTTGTTCACTCCACCTAATCGATTACATCTGGTAGGTACCATTAGTGCAAATTACACCAAGCAACAGTCATTTTAAAATGACAGTCATGGTAAATTTGTAACCTCTGGGGGTAAGCAATCATCAAGTCAACCACTTACCATCTAGGTGTTGATTCCATAGCACTACTAAAGAGAGCAAGAAAATTCGTTCACAGAAGAAGCTAGGAATTGCAGCCTTCTACTCAGTGTTTACAGGGCGAGAGTTGAACACAAGCTATTCTGCCAGTTGTGTGGATGTCTTCAGGTTGAAGCCTTGTAGGTCACTGAGGCCGTTAAAAAAGTTCGGACTAAGGTGCACATGCTGAAAAATCCGGAGCTCTGATAAATCGTCTTAAACGAAATGGAAGCCCATGGCAAACAGTTTGGTCAGATACTGGCTGATTTTTTGCAATTTCTAACAAATGCCAATTGGAAAGTACAACTGCACAAAGGGAGGAGAGTTCTCTACAACACTCTCTAACACTAGTTCAACTAGAGGTTCCCCCAGCACTAAGTACAGGCAGTGGATAAATGAATGAGGGAGCAGTAAGTAAATGACTACTGAACAAAAAACTGGCCACATTGAAGGAACCATTTTAACAATAAGAGGTGTCTCTAAAGATTGCACAAGGAAAGTTCTGGACTCTGCACCTAGAGAAACCTTGGAAGCCCAGCTAAACTTCAGCTCTAATGTGCAATAGCACACATGGCCTGTGAGGCTATGATGCCTTTAAATAAGACAATTACAGTATACGGCAAGTAATAACAGAACAAACAAATTTGATTTCTTCAAATCAGACCATGCAACCAGGCACTACAATCATCGTAATTTATTTAAAATGATTTTCCAGGAGCTCTCACTATCTCAGCAGGGAGAAGAAAAATCAATCACACAATTGCCCATACTTTAAGAGAAAGACAGAGTGTACTGCAAGCGTACGTGTAGAATGAACACACTCGCACAGAGAGTTATGGCCTCCATGCAAGGACTGTGTTCTCAGGCGTTCTTGTCTTCCTTCAAACAGATCTCTGTCGATCTTTACCAAGTAGGGAGGACAGAACGCCAGACAGAAGATATATCTTGGTCTATTCACCTGCCACGCTACAAGAGTAGAGCTATCAATGGGTAGAGTAATCGCTTTGACAAAACATAACATGACAAAGTTGCATGAATCAAAGGGTTCAAGGGTTAATTGTTTATGTGGGAGTCCGAAGTTGCAATGTCAATACCGGACTTTGACAGAGGGCTTAAGTTAACACTGGAATTCTGATTAACGGTAAACGGTGGACGGTACTGGAAACGATTGCTACCATGATATCTCGAGGTTTGAAGGCTCCTTACAAGACCAGTAACTATGACAAAAAATGCTCCAACCCGAGTAATTGCTCTGAGAGGAACAATGTTTTTTTTTTTTTTTCAGCCTGTACTTATTACTTACATGTACGTGTATCTTGGATTGAACGTTTTACTTTAGATCTTGCTGAGATTGTTATGGATAATTGCCATAGACATCCCTTTTCAAAATTGTGTTACTATTTCCTGATAAAAATAGTTTTCCTGACTAATTAACTGCGAAATGCCTGGTAAGACAGCAGCCTCCAGCTCCCCCCTTACAGCTGTCGTTTCCACCCATTAATTTTAGACTGCTCAGCTTTCTTCGGCAATGTTATTGAAGAACGTTTGTTCTGGACACCAGCGGGTGAAAGACAATGGGGAAGGCCTAGAAGTAACTTGGAGAAGGTCAGGAGAGAAATAACTTAAATTTAATCAACTGACTTGGAGTAAAATCCAAAAAGTGTACCAAGACCACTCCCACTGAAGAAAGACTGCAAAGGCCTCATGGGTCCCATGGCATGACAAGGACTGATGATGATATCCGTTGGTAAATTTTGTTAAAATTAACGGGTAAAGTTTAGAGCTCCCCACAGAATCCCCCTGTTTCAGAGGTAGGCCTTCTTTACAACATGCAATAACAATACACGTCATGCAATATGTATTCTCACCAATAGTCTTGTAGATGTGAGATGCAATTTCCTGGGCTCTAGCTTGAGTAAGATCATCAAAACTTGAGAGTGGAAACAAAGACTGTGGGCGTTTCACTATCAATCCAAGCTCTTTAAAGTCTGTTTCCAATCCAACTGGCACAATGATGACTTTAACATTGCTGGAGTATAACAACTCGGAAGACGAGATAAGGTCTTCAGTATCTTCTTTGCCTTCCTCATTTGAAAACTGCTTTCCAGCTGTGATGATAATGACGAGCTGGTATTGGTTTTGACTTGCCGCCTTTATTGCAGTGAGATTGTCAGCTGCTTCTTTCAGTGCCAAATCCATTCTTCTGCATTTACTCCGAAACAGTGTTTCAGTTTTTAGTTCACCAAGTTTATCAGAAAACAATTTCTCATCATCTGAATCAAATGGTATCACTGTTTCAGAGTTATCCCCATATACAACCAGGGCAGCTTTGGAACACTCTGAGGTTAAATTCCAAGATTGAGCCAGATGTTGAACAAAGTTAATCTCTTTCTTAATTTCTTCTTTTGTCACACTTGAAGAATAGTCCAAGGCGAACACAACATCAGCACTGAATTCTCCATTTGCAGCTGCAAAAGCAAAATAACTGAGTCAGGTACATGTAGTGATCTTCCTGAAAGATACATGTACCTATAACAAGATCAAGCATTATACTAGATACATGAACCACACGTACATGTAGCAAAAATGTCACACAAACTCTTGTAAACAGAACTCACTATAATTTCACAATCAGGAGTAATAAATTTCAGTTAATCTACTTCAAAGCACCTTTAGGTAAATAATAGTCCTTCATGCATGGCACACAACTTTACGATAGCTTTAAGCAATGCAAAATCCTAAAACAGTTTCTGGTGTCAAAAACAACCTCTATGAGACAGGTTACACTGTCTACTTTCCTAAAAATACATACATTAGTACACTGATATGCAACACTTTTGAGTGGTATACATGTACCGAGGAAGATCCCATGTATTTTCTCAGTCTACACATGAGCCTTTAACATGAAGACAAAAGTTATACCACACTGAAGAAAATGCATGCAGTGGCCAACTCAATCAATGCAACATACACGCTGTGCATGATGGGCAGGTTGGGTCTAATATCATCAACAGCAGATTGAAACAACCATAAAACAAGGCCAATAGGAAGCGTCCTTCTTTGTTGTACGTCAAAACAAACACAGCTTCCATCACAACCACAATCTTGGTTTTCATGCCAAATCAAACCCTTCCTGTGGTCGCCAAAGAAGACTATCAGCCTAGCGGTGAAACAGACAGAACCAAAGTACAACACTGGCAAAATACAGACGTCCATTCCATGTTCATCCAACTACTAGAATGTTGCAATGAACAGCTATGCAAGGACATAACGAGCAATGCAGGTGACTTGCCCACTACCAATGGTTGCCCGGGTACAACTACATAACATGCACCAACACGGAGACAAAACGATTCGTACTTTTGGTTTCCACGTTCATGCCCAAGCCAGCATTTGTAAGTTCCTGGTCAAGTACTCTGGCTGCGACACTGAGGTCAACTATAGAGAAAACATCCTGCATAATGTCCTAACGTGTGCCTTAGCCGACAATAAGATCCAGTTGGACTTGCTAGGTGACAAGAGCCAGGATATGACCCTCCAAGAAGAGTTTCAATTTGCTGAGGCAAAAGAGGCTGGCAAACGATCTGCTGGGCACTTGCTGCAAACCCAGGGAGCAGATGCAGCCTTCAGCCAAAACCACCGTGCCCAACAGGACGAGATGAAGAATCGCAAAGTCACCAACAATGAACACTGCTCCTACTGCGGCAAACGTGGACATGGCATGAGCGCCCAAATCAAAATCAGGAGGAACACCTACCCCCGCCTATGGCACAATCTGTGACCACTGTGGCCGAGCAAACCACTCTGCAACCATGTGCTGAAGCAAAGACAAACCTATCAAACCACCACTGCCTGGTTCATTGAGCAACCATCCTCAAGATATAGAGAGTGCCATCTTTGACTCCCTCTGCACAGCAACCAACTGCAGCCACAATACAAGCACACCTGTGATATCACTTGACCACCAACTGCATAACCATCTGAAAGACCATTTGGTTCAACAGGCATCCCAACCTCATTCTTTCCGCAATGTCATGGCAACTGCTCACCCGCGTGATTATTTGGCCATGGGGTACAAAACCCCCTCCCACCTGTTATCCACAATCTCTGTGACTCTCTGCTATGACAAACATAGGATGCCAGAGCTACCTAGTCAATTTGTAAGTTCTCTGTCACCTCGGTCTGCATGAAGACAACCTGATCCCCGTCACCATACACATGCATGCTGCCAACAATGATGGCATCCAGATCCTTGCGCTATCACACTGAGATTCTCCAGCAGATCAAAATTTGGTCAGCGCCTTGACATTGGACAAATGGTGTTCATCACAAGTGACTGTGATAGATTATTCCTCAGCTGGGAGGCCTGTGCAGCACTAGGCAAAATCTTGAAGCACTTCCTCGCCATTGGTGAGACCCTCCAATCACAAACCCTGACCAGTCCAGATGCTGCACGTGATGCGACAGAACAACACCCCCCAGAACCTATCCCACTCACACTTTGCAACTATCCTCATGGTCATACACCAGCGCTAAAACCAACGAACCCCTATTCCCAGAAACTGAAGCGAATCAGATGCAATGATAACATTGGCTTCTGGATTACTACAAGTCCAGTACCTTCATTAGTGCAAGCACCAACTACTGCCCCAGATGGAGGGCATTCCTATGCTGCTTATGGTGGACCCTAATGCAGAACCTGTTACCCACCACACCCCTGTACCAGTACCACTCCACTGGCAAACAAACATGAAAGCTGACCTCGACAAGGATGTTGCCCTAGGTGTCCCAGAGCCAGTACCAGTAGGGCAACCAGTGATGTGGTGTCATTGCGTGGTAGTGTGTGAAAAGAATGGCAAGCCTTGACGTACATTAGACTTCTAGGCACTTAACCTCCATGCCACCTGCAAAACCTACCAGACACAGCCCATTCCATCAAGCCCACTCTATACCCAGTGGCAAAAAAAGATGACCATCTTTGACTGCTGGAACAACTACCACAATGTACCGCTGCAACCAGACAACCACCACCTCATCACATTCATCAACCCGTGGGGACGATATCAGTACAAAACTGTATCCCAGGGTTATGTCGTGCCAGCCAATGGATACTCAAGACGGTTTGAGGAAATAGTCTCCCGCATCCCCTAACAAGACCAAATGCATTGATGACACTCTCCGCTGGGCAGACAAGCTAACTGAGAGCTTCCTCCAGGCAGTTGACTGGCTTGACCTCTTTGCAGACACAATGCCATCATACTAAACCCAGACAAGTGTGTGTTTGGGGCTGACACTGTCGCGTTTGTGGGATTTGAGCCCTTCTGACAGTGTGCACCCATGAAAGAAGTATCTAGATGCCATTTGCCACTTTCTGAGACCTGCCAACATCACTGATGTGCGCTCCTGGTCCGGACATATCAACCAGGTGTCATACGCCTTTTCAGCAACTGAGCACATGCTGCCATTCTGCCAGTTACTCAAACCTGCAACCCCTTCAAGTGGGATGATGAGCTCAACTGACTTTTGAAAGAATCCAAATTAGTGATCATTAGCGAGATAGGGGAGGGAGTATGCATCTACAATAAATCCAAGCCAATTTGCCTAGCCACAGACTGGTCCCACGGTGGCAGTTGATTCTGGCTATCCTAAAAACATTACCAGTGCCCATCCAATGAACCCATATGCTGTCACACAGGCTGGAAAATCACACTAGTCAGTAGCCGATTCACTCATGCAGATTAATCATGTTATGTACTAGTGGAGAGAGAAGCACTTGCCATAGCTGACACCCTTGACAAGGCAAGCTTCTTTATCCTGGGTTGTATTGACCAAATAATCACCGTGAAGCAAAAGCCCCTACTGAAGGTGTTTGGTGACCAGTCCCTAGAGGACATCTCTGATACCACAGGGTGAGACGAAAAGGCTGTCCGATAGCCCGGGACTAGTGAAACATCGGTTGGGCTAGTGCTGTCTTATCACAGGTTGCCCGACGGGCAAGCATGAAGTGGGCATGAGTGAAACACTGTTGCTTTTTTTTAGCGGAGCCCCATACCCATATAGGGAAGAAAAGGAAACCCATGAGTTGATTTTCTCATGGTTATTATGGCTAGCGGTATTGCTCGTGGGCGCGTACGCACGACGGCGACGACGACGACGACGACGACGACGACGGAGTCGCGCAAGATGGCGCCATACTCCAGCTAATAGGTTGACAGAGACATGCACCCTCGGTTTATAGCGGGAGAATGCCATTTTTCTTGGCGGGATTTTTAAAGAAAAACGATAGCGGAGGTTGATCTAATGTTTTTAAGACAGGGTTGCACTGAAGCAAAAAACAGAAGCACGAATTAACAGGCAAAGAAGTAGCGAAGAAGATCGCGAAAAAGACAGAGTGGGCCAGCGCTGGGGAAGGAGGCGAAACAGTACTGAACAATGCCGTGAATTATAGCTAGTCAAGGGCTAGAGAAAGGAGGTAAAATAATACCGAACAATGCCGTGAACCAAAGCTAACGAGGGCTATAGAAAGGAGGCGAAAGTACCCGACAAATTGATTCAGAAGACTGCCGAACTCTNACCGTATGGAACCCGATCGCCTGCCAAGGCAAGTCCTCTACGGGGAACTGTGGGAGGGTGCCTGACGCGTGGGTCAACCTCTCCTTCGCTTTAAGGATGTTTGCAAGCATGACCTGCGACTCGCTGAATTCAATCCCAATACCTGGGAGGTCCTCGCGCAAAACTGCGCCGCCTGGCGTCACAGTGTGAAGGAGGGGGCACTCAGGGCCGAGACGAAGGCCAGGGCCGAGACGAAGGCCAGGGCCGAGACGAAGGCCAGGGCCGAGACGAAGGCCAGGGCCGAGGCGACAATCAAGCGGGCAGCGAGAAAGGAACGACAAAGAAGACTGCCACTCAAGAATCCGGCTTTTGAGTCACTCAAGAGCCTGTTGACACTGATGTGCTGACCATCGCCTCTCCGAGACGAGGATGCCATATTATTATAAAATAGCCTAAGTCATGTGACCAAATCAAGGTTTACAATTGTTTGTGAAAAAATATGACGCCTTGTGTCTTCATCGACAGTATAAGCATGAATAGCTATGGCTAAATTTTATTACTGTACTTAGGAGATTAAAACGAATGACTTAAGTCTCGTTATTTATGGATATGAAATTTCCAAGCGGTAGGGGGACCCAAGTAAAAAAGTCATGGAGATTCCAGGGGATGACAGGAGTATCGTAAAACCCCATTGAATGGAAAATCGTGGGGGGTAGGGGTCAAACTGGAAATGAACCCTCAGTGGGGGTATTGATATTTTCTAGAACCACACATTGTGTTCTAATTGTTTTATTGTAAAAGTTTTAATTCAAAAGGGAAATCAAAGAGAATCAGTTCATCTAAACTCTGTATTATTAATTAACATTACTTTTGCATATTAAATTGCTTAAATTATCCTTATTAATAATTTAATTTCGGGCTAGCTCCTCAGAGAGTTGGGTTAGTAAGATGAAATTACAGCTTGCCTAAGGGCAAGCGGAGTTTTTGAATTTCATCTCAACCTGCACTGCCAGGCTTCGAAACCTAAAAAAGACGACATCGCGCCACAAATTCAAAATGATACACATCCCTGGTTTACGACACAAAGGTGCAGATGTCTCCCGTCACCACACAGGGAAAATGATGCCCGACATGCTAACATAGCCAGACGACATAGCAGCCACAAGTGATGTACACATATACTGTGACAGTGCAGGATGCAAGCATGCCATTCCTGTATCGCACATCACAGGTTTTGCTTCTGTGACAAGGAACATGACTTTGTATAATATAAATGAATCTTCAGTTAAAAAGACGTTTACAGTGTCCATGTACATACATGTATTAACACAATATTTTAAAAATAAATTATTGCATCAAAAAAATAATACCTTCCATAACACCATCAGTTTCACCTCCACCGACTTCTTCCAACTTGCTGAGTTTGAAACCAGTTTCTTCCTCTTCCTCTTCATCATCTGACACTGTAATAACATCTACAGTTTTACAGAACAAAGGAAAAATGGTTTTCATTGCCCAACTTATTAGTTTGAAAAATGTCCTTACATGAGGAGACTGTATGCTGACACTGTGATACACACTTTATTGCAACTTACAGTAATTACAATATTACAGCAGGTTACCAATGTTCAATTCAGAGTGTTAGAAATTCCTAAGAAGATAATCGAAAATGACCAAGCCTGGCAACTGATCAACCTTGCACTATTACATGTCAAGGTCATGGCATAGGTCATACCGTGCAGGAGCTACCACGGGACTTCTCCACTTTTTTTCAAGCACAGATGGTTAATTATGACATGCCATCCTCAGTTGCAACTTAACTGTTATACCATAAATGATCACTGAATGAAGTCCGAAGTCTTTTTCTTAACCACAGAACCTCAACATTAGAGCTTACAACAAACCTTTATATGTAAAGGCTTCTGAAGCTGTTCTTTTTTTTGAGGTGTGTGGTTCTTCTTGTATGGAGGTGATAGGATGATCCACATGCTGACTGCTTGCATCTATAAATATTTTCGTCGAAAATCAAAAACAAAAACAAGAGAAACTAATTCAAACATTCAGACTATGATTTTAACTTAGAGTCCCTCCCTATAGCTTTACAACCACTTACAGGATGACAATGAAAGCTTTATTAAATAGTAATTCGCACATGCTCAACGGAAAATTAATGTCAATGTTTTTCAATATTTTGTGGCATTTGCATGACAACAAAAAGCATAACTGACAGAGCATTTTCTCCTATTTCCCTTGTTGAAATTCAGTGAAGTTTGCCAGATTGGTAACATGTAAGTAAATATTCTACTTTAGTTGAGGCTCGTTTTTCAGGGAAATCTATGCCACTACAAGCCCAAATTTTTTTAAGAGTAACATTTGTATCCTGCCAGACTCGATATACTGTGAAAATTTAGAAAGATTTCACTGAGGAAATTCAAAAACATCACAGATAAGGCCATATTAAAAAGTGAAAAACTTGTTTGCTTGGGCATTTTGAATTAAAGACTAAAAGCCATGTATTCTACCTTGTCACCACAATGAGAGATCGCATCAGATAGCATTGCACCTGTGCAAACTCATTGCATTGTCGCCTTCCATAGTAATTGTTTCACGAAAATTTGTATCAAGTTATAAAGAGAAATCCAAGCCAAAAGAAGGCCAGGGGGCAAATCCTCCAACTCATTAACTCTTTCTAAATTTTCTCAATAAAATGGGGAGGCAGTGTGGCCAAGTGGTTAGGGCGCTGGACTTGAAATCCGGAAATTGTGGGTTCAAGTCCCGCTCTGACCACTTAGCTGGAGTTGTTTCTCGGTAGACCCTAGTTCAACTCCTCAGTCATGCATGTAAATAGCCAACTGGTCTGCCCCCTGCCAGTTGGGATTTTTAACCATGTTACATTTATTTCATTATTATTTTGTTTCATCGTTTGGTTTCATTGGCCCTGAAAACCCCAGTGGGGGACTAGCCAATTAAGATATTTTATTTATTTTATTTATTAGAAAAAGGAGGAAATGTTACAGAGATTACAGAAAATCAGGGTACTTAGATGGTGCTGAAACTGCTGGGAAAAAAAAAAAAAACAAGATAAAAAAACGTTTGCTTCCTGCCTCTAGCAACACAACATGCATGCTTTAATGAGCAGTTGTTGTTCCAGTGATCGTCAATTTAGAGCAGATTCACCATCATGAATGGTTTTCTCACTAACCCGATGAAATATTGCTTTTCTACCATAGTAGACAAACTAAATACTTGAAAGCAACTTGCTGGATTCAGATCTCAAAACTAGTGAGCCAGAAAAGTCAGTCGGGAAAAGGAACAAGAGTAGGAAACTGCAGTATTGAATCATTGCTTAAAGGAGAAGATCACTCCAAAAACCGTGTATTTGTTTGCATCACCAATAAAAAGTTCACATTGAGTTGAGTTACTCACCGTTGTTTTAGCTTCTGAAATGGATGTGATCCCAATGAAAAAGAAGTGAAAAGTTCGACACTGGAAGCCACCATTTTGAAAGGATCTTGCAGGCTAGGCCACATATCTGTGACGTCATTCCGTTCGAGAATGTGTTTGTTCTTTTGAGCTTTAGTACGGCTACTCTTGAAGCCAGAACGTGCTAGTGATTCCACAGATGACAATAATCAAGGTGAATGGAACGATTGGTTGGAAAATGCTTTGTGAGAGATGTGCAACCATGCCGATGCAAAGAGAATGTGTTTGTTGCCCAGTAGGTCACCAAGATGGAAGGTACATTTTACAGTACAATTACAATGGACACAGTTAGCAGAAGAGGAAGTTTATTTTAATTGTAAAATGCTCTCAGAATTGAATTGGTTGCTTAAACAAATCCCCAGTATAGTGCTTTTGATCTGATTTGTCTCGATCTTTATTTTACCGGTGGTTCAATGTGGAGGGAGTTCTAGCTGGCATCACAGAAACTGACAAGTTTTCAAAGGTGTGTTTAAATCAGGCGAATGCTTTCCACCTCACAAGTCTTTGTTTTTACTTATAAAATTTGGATACATTTTGCTCGTGCTCATACGTGTTTGCCTAGGTTTCTTTACACGTATATACTATGTGGACTCTTGTGAAATACGCAGTAACTTTACATGTAAGATGTGAAGTGAAATTGACGTCTTTGACGTGAAATGTGATTTTTTGTGTGAATTGTAATTTTTTATTGTTGGAAAGCTAAGCATATGTAATAGATTTTGGATAGAAGAAAAAAGTATACACAACTTTTACGTGCGTAAACAAGCTGAAGGAAACTTGGCTCTGTTAGTGTGTTTATCCGTATCACATGTGTCATGTTTACTCAGCTCATTACTTGACAAAGCATGCGGTAAAATTACAGCTTCATTTTTTACCGTAGATTTGCTTTCATTAGCAATTGTAATTCCCCAAAATAATGTAAATAAAAAAAACTGCCTTAATTAATGATGAATCGTGGTGATAAAATTGAAAACAAATTGTAACACATTTCAGACAAAATATTATTTACATGTGGATATCGGATTTCACTATAACAGGACTTGTTATCGCTAATTGTCGATATATAGATAGGTCTGATGTACAATTAACTACTTCTTCTGACGTATTTCAAATCAAATTAGACAGCATTTAAAAAGTTATAAGTATTTTAACTCATCCCTGGCTGTCAAGGCCGATTATTAAACACAATCTGATTTTGGCCCACACAAGAGATTTATAAATCGAAAAACATACTCTTTCGATGAAAGAAAACCATAGTGGGTTAGTCTGACTTGTAGTTTTAAAGAAATCTGCAGAGCATTTGAAGTTCCCACAGTATCCTAAGAAATTTAATAAAATCACTTCCAGAAAACACATGCAGTTGCTATGAATCAATGAACATGAAAACATGAAAAACCTAGCGCCAGGCTATGAAAAGTAATGAATTAAAGCTTGCAACATGGAAGCTTTTTTATACATACTGGTAAGACTGGTAAATGAAGAAAAGAATTTCATTTAGCCATTTTCCCTGTTATTATAGAAAAAAAGCAGCTAACTGATTATAAATGAAAAACCCCTGATTCACGCCGTTTTAACATCTTTTTCATATTGAGCCTGAAGGATTGAAAATTTTTGGCGACTAAAATACTTGTGCTGGTGATCAAACTTGAAAACTTAGGGGCCAGCTGGACCCAAGGTTTTTTTCTTGAAATGCAAGCCCTGTAGCCCAGTGAGGAGCTTCAATTTCTTACGCATAAATAATATTTACCATATCAAGTCAACGACAGTTCTGCCGAGCAAAAATATTTTTAAAAATGAAAAGTATAACTGATAGCTACCTCTTTTCGTTCCTTGCGATGCGCCGTTCACTTGTAATGCGTGCCTTTACAAGTGCCTTCAGCTGAAAAATTTTCGGAAAGCATTTTTCTTCAATGACCTCTTTCTTGTGTTTCCACCCACAAGTTCAAATCAGTATTCAGTTTTGAAACAGTCGTCTGTGAAATGCTTGTTCGACACGTACACGTTTTCGAGTTTTTTTGCATGAAGCTCTCATCCGATCCCGACATAGCTATACGAACTACTTCTTTGGCAATTTTTTGTTCTTTGCAGGCAAATTAAGAAAAGTCACTCCTCTTTCCCTATCCTTTTGGTTCGGGTTTTACAGCCCAGGGCGGAACATTTTAGCACAAAACTGAATAAACGAATTTAGGACAGAAAGGAAGAGCTTCAGCCTTTGAGCTTCACACCAATTCGGACAGAATGACGTCATGGATATGCGCCTAGCCTGCAAGATCCTTTCAAAATGGTGGCTCCCAGTGTCGAACTTTTCACTTCTTTTCCATTGGGATCGCATCCACTTCAGAAGCTAAAACAACGGTGAGTAACTCAACTCAATGTGAACTTTTTATTGGTGATGGAAAAAATACATGGTTTTTGGAGTGACCTTCTCCTTTTAAGAAAAGGGAAAACAACTACAACAACAAACAACAACAAACAAACAAAAATAGTGACAGCATTGAGCAAAATGCAGCCACAATCACTCATCTTCAATGTTCTACGTGAGCCCTAGTTCAGTAAATTGAAAAAAAATACTCACCATCTTTCTGAATTACTTCATCTTCACCTTTCTCCATATTTCTACTTCCCTATGAAAGCCTAAAAATAATTTAGCAATACTGTTACATTATAACTCCCAGTACATTGCAGGCAATGAGAGTTTTCTATTGCCAGCAATCGCAGTTTGTCTTTGTTTTAGAAAAGGGGACAACAGACAAGAGTCTGAAGTGGAAAGTTCTCATTCATAAAAACACTTAAACACAAGTTTCTTATTAATAAACTGATGTTTCTACATCTGGTCTCATGCTTATTTCTGACAAACCGCTATTTTATTTTTTTGTTCACTGGCTGTGCATGTGCCTTTTGAGGACTTTGACTGACATCTCAAATAATTGGGTGACAGAACCATTTTTTTAAAAAGCTTTTAAAATCACTCCTCATCTGTGACCTTGTTTTGATCAAATACAAGACTAATTGAAGGCTTTCGCGCAAAAAAGGTCGTATGTGGTATTTTGGGCCAATTTTTATATTTTGCAGGATCAAGCTACATTTTAGCAGACTGACTTGTTGTGACATGAAAAACATTGTTGCATAATTGTTTTTGTTGATTTGTGCTTCGTTTTCGAGAAATAACATATGCAAAAAAACTCAGTTTTCCGAGCGGCATCTTTTAGAGCGAATCCTTCCAAGGTGGAATTTGACGCGGCGCAAACTTAAACGGTTACTTTTAGCAGCTTCAACAGCATGGTTTTTTTAAATAGATGTTTTGATTTTTGAAAGAAGTAAAGAAATAGACCGGAAAAAAAAAAATTGCCCCGACCTTGCATTGAACCGGTGTCACGACTAAACAAACTCGCACCGGCCAGTTCAGCACCTTATTCACTTACGCTAACGAAGCAACAGTAACAGAATTGCGTAATTATATGAATAATAAAACTAGCGGCAAATACCATGCTTCGGTGACTTCGTTTAGCAAAACAAAGGTTTCTTTTGTTTTTCGCTCAACAAAAGATCTCCAAAACTGAGTTTTTTTTGTATACGTTATTTCTCGAAAATGAAGCGCAAATCAACAAAAACAATTATACAACAATGCTTTTCATGTCAAAACAAGTCAGACTGACAAAAATTAGCTCAATCCTGCAAAAAATAAAAATTGGCCCAAAATGCCACATACGCCCTTTTCGCACGAAAGCCTTCAATTATAGAATCAATCATCTTTTTCAAGTCACAATCCAAATCATGGATTGATACAACAAAGCAATAATATAAGTATAATAAACTGAAAGTTCAGCAAAAAACCTGATCAGTTACATATTTTGTCTTTTTCTGTTATTTCTTGAGCAGCCAATTCATTACAGCTGATCAAGATGAAAAGACATAACAAAAAACTGTCAATAAGCAGCCTTGTATTTACATACAGTAGTCACACTTGCACAGTGAGCCATGACCCATAGATTTCTACTCCAACAAGATTTCTTGACATACAGTACCAATAATGTGCTGCATGTACATGTAATGTGGTTTTTCTTTCTTTCTTTTTACATATATTTTATTTCTGGGCCTGCAGTAATTGGCTACTTAGCTGTTGCGATGTCCCTGCCAAACCTCTACAGTGTACATATTGATTGTAATTTTTTTTTTTGTATCATAAAGGCAAAGCTAATAAAATAAAATAAATAAAATTTGCAAAACATTTCATGACCCGAGATTTGGGTTCAAAAACTGCCATGTAAAAAAGGTGCAAAAATGAATCACACTTGGGGGCGTCATTTTGTAAAAATATGGAGCTTCCCATGGAGTTTTCCATTACGCACAAAATTGAACCACCCTTCAGGAGACCTTTTTGCAAAATAAAAAATTGACCCAGAACCCTCATTATACTGTATGTCTGTGTCCATGTGATAGAATAATATTCTAAAACATACGCTCGGCAACAAGTGTATTTTTTCAGGGAAGGAGGGTGAATTGACTTATGTGGGGGCTAATTGGTTTCTGGTTGGGGGCTAATCGATTTCTGGTTGCGGGTTAACAGGCTAGGGGATAATTGACTTGGAGGCTAAACAACCTACTTGTACATTCATTAATTTTGGCAGGAAAAGTAATTATAGTAAACTCAAGGAAATAATAATCTACCAGCGAAATAAACAATTATTCTAGAAAACATTTTAGTACAGCAGATTGCAAACACAGATGACGAAACTAAGAAAGACAAATTCACAATTTAAGAGACAGAATACTACGCTTATGTCTGTTTACAACTAGTAGATTTATACCAAACAATAGGATTATATTCGCTCTTGATTTCTATGCTTGAGCTCCATGTTGAATATAAATAATTTCTTGTACATTCTTTACCTTCATTTGCAACTTAAAGTAGCGGTATTTGATGTAAGGCATTCAAAGAACAATCGACAACTGTACAGCACCTAACAAAAGCTTTGTTCACTGGCTGTGCATGTGCCTTTTGAGGACTTTGACATCTAAATGATGGCGTGACAGAACCATTATTTAAAAGCTTTAATTTATTAAATCACCGTTCATCCGTGACCTTGTTTTGATCAAATACCAGACTAATTATAGAATCAATCATCATTTTCGAGCCACAATCCAAATTGTGGATTGATACAACAAAGCAATTATAATAAACTGAAAGTTCAGCAAAAGACCTGATCAGTCACAGTTTTTGTCTTTTTCTATTATTTCCTGAGTGGCCAATTCATTACAGCCAGTCAAAATGACAAGACATAATAAAAAAAATATATAAGCAGCCTCATACATGTATTTGCATTCAGTAGTCACACTCGTGCAGTGAGCCATGAACCACTGATCTGCAAAACATTTCATGACCTGAGATTTGGGCTTAAAAACTGCCATTTATTGTTAAAAAAGGTACAAAAATGAATCACCCTTAGGAACTTTATTTTGTAAAAATATGGAGTTTCCCATCGAGTTTGTCATAACACACAAAATTAAATCACCCTTGGAGACTTTATTTTTCAAAATTAAAATTTGACCCATAACTCTCATTGTTATATAGCTGGCATTTTTCTTGCTACAGTGCACCCATTCATTGGCTAGTTCATGGTCACATGATATCTAACAATGAAACTGTTCACTGCCAAATGCCATGAGTGAGCAACATCCCAAAAACTATGACGCCAAACAGGAAACAGTTCACTGTTACTCAGGAAATGTTGACCCCTGTTGCACGTGTTTAGAGTGTGCAGCTGAAAGTGGCCTGATGTTGTAGCTGGAATCTCATCGCCTTTTTCAAAATTTGCTTTTGTTTTGTTGTGTTATATAACAAATCACTTAATGACTGGTCCCTTAGGGAACAGTGAATTTTGTTTCCCTCGAATCTCAGTGTTGAGATTCTCAACACTGAGATTCCTCGGGAAACAAAATTTCAACATTGAGATTCTCGGGAAAGAAAATTCACTGTTCCCCTCGGGACCAGTCATTAAGTGTTAATTATACTGTATGTCTGTGTTCGTGCATGTGATAGAATTGTATTGTACAACACACGCTCGGCAACAAACATATTCACTGTGTTTAAAAAACAAGTCTTTCAGGGAAGGAGGGCGAATCGACTTATGCGGGGGCTACTCGGCTTCTGGTTGGGGGCTAATCAATTTCTGGTTGCGGGTTAACAGGCTACGGGATAATCGACTTGGAAGCTATACGACCTACATGTACATTCATTAATTTTGGCGGGAAAAGTTCGGGAATTACTTTTGCAGCCTATAGTAAACTCAAGGAAACAATAATCTACCAGCGAAATAACCAATTAATTCTAAAGTACAGCAAATTGCAACCACAGACGGGTTTACTCAGAAAGACAAATTCACGATTATATGAGACCATAAGAGACTGAATTAAGCTTATAGAATACTGTGCCTCCACGCACTGCGCTGTAGGTCTGTCTACGACTACTAGATTTATTCGCTCTCGATTTCTATCGGTGTGATAAGCTAAAGAGCCATTTGACTCGGGGGCCCTCGTCAACCCATCTCGAGCTCATAATTTAATTGCTGGATATAATTTCGCGTACATGTACATTCTTTACCTTCATTTGCGACGTAAAGTAGTGGTATTTGCTGTTATAAAGGTATTCCAAGATCCAACCAAAGCTAAAGGCGAACGATCGGCAACTGTACAGCACCTGGTACAAAACTAGAAACAAAAGCTTTGTTCACGTGCCTTTTGAGGATTCTAACTGACGGCTTGACTATTTCAGGACGAAGTGTTCAACTTGCTCGCGTCGCCGGGCCATGCGAT